TTTGGATTTCAAATCTCTGCATATCCTCACCAACACTTGTTATTTTTTCCTGTTTACTTTAGCCATGCTAGGAGGTATGAAGTGATATCTTATTGTGGTTTTTATTAACGTTTTCCCTAATTGCTAATGTTGTTGATCATCTTTTCATGTGCTTATTGGCCCTTTGTAAATCTTGGTTGGAAAAACATATAGACAAATCTTTTGATCATTTAAATATTTTATTATTTGTCTTTTTATTGTTAAGTGACATAAGTTGTTAATGTTTTATATAAGTCCTTTATCATACATATGATTTGCAAATATTTTCTTCGAATATATAGACTCTCATTCAATTCAGTTCAGTTCAGTCACTCAGTCGTGTTCGACTCTTTGTGACCCCATGAACCGCAGCACGCCAGGCCTCCCTGTCCATCACCATCCATTGTGTTGGTGATGCCATCCAACCATCTCATCCTCTGTCGTCCCCTTCTTCTCCTGCCCTCCATCTTTCCCGGCATCAGGGTCTTTTCCGATGAGTCAGATCTTCGCATCAGGTGGCCCAAGTATTGGAGTTTCAGCTTCAACATCAGTCTTTCCAATGAACACCCAGGACTGATCTCCTTCAGAATGAACTGGTTGGATCTCCTTGCAGTCTAAGGGACTCTCAAGAGTCTTCTCCAACACCACAGTTCAAAAGCACTAATTCTTCGGTGCTCAGATTTCTTTATAGTCCAACTCTCACATCCATACATGACCACTGGAAAAACCATAGCCTTGACTATACAGACCTTTATTGGCAAAGTAATGTCTCTGCTTTTTAATATGCCATCTAGGTTGGTCATAACTTTCTTTCCAAGCAGTAAGCGTCTTTTAATTTCATGGCTACAATCACCGACCACAGTGATTTTGGAGCCCAGAAAAATAGTCAGCCACTGTTTCCACTGTTTCCCCATCTATTTGCCATGAAGTGATGGGACCAGATGCCATATCTTGGACTTCAAAATCACTGCAGATAGTGACTGCAGCCATGAAATTAAAAGACGCTTGCTTCTTGGAAGAAAAGCTATGATAAATGTAGACAGAGTGTTAAAAAAAAACAGAGACATTGATTTGCCAGCAAAGGTCGGGATAGTCAAAGCTATGTTTTTTCCAGTAGTCTTGTATGTATGTAAGAGTTGGACTATAAAGAAGGTTGAGCACCAAAGAATCAATGCTTTTGGACTGTAGTGTTGGAGGAGACTCTTGAGAGTCCCTTGGACTGCAAGGAGATCAAACCAGTCAATCCTAAAGGAAATCAATCCTGAATGTTCCTTGGAAGGACTGATATTGAAACTGAAGTTCCACTACTTTGGCCACTTGATGCAAAGAGCCAATTCATTGGAAAAGACTCTGATGCTAGGAAAGGCAGAAGGCAGGAGGAAAAGAGGACGACAGGATGAGATGGTTGGGTGGCATCACTGACTCGATGGACATGCGTTTTAGCAAGCACCAGAAGTGGGTGATGGACAGGGAAGCCTGGCATGCTGCAGTCCATGTGGTTGCAAAGAGTTGGACATGACTGAGCAACTGAACAACAACAAGTACTAGGGATGTAATGTAAAACATGATGACTATAGTAAACAATAGAAAGAAAAAGAAAGTGAAGTCGCTGAGCATAGAAATGATGCTTTTGAACTGTGGTGTTGGATAAGACACTTGAGAGTCCATCCTAAAGGAAATCAGCCCTGGGTGTTCACTGGAAGGACTGATGTTGAAGCTGAAACTCCAATACTTTGGCCACCTCAGGCAAAGAGTTGACTCGTTGGAAAAGACTCTAATGCTGGGAAGGATTGGGGGCAAGAGGAGGAGGGGATGACAGAGGATGAGATGGATGGATGGCATCACCGACTCAATGGACATGGGTTTGTGTAGACTCCGGGAGTTGGTAATGGTCAGAGAGGCCTAGCGTGCTGCAATTCACGGGGTCACAAAGAGTTGGACATGACTGAGCGACTGAACTGAACTGAACTTCCCATTCAAAGTAATCCCAATCAAAATTCCAGCAATAATTTTTGTGCGAATTGAAAAGTGGATCATAAATTTATGTGGAAATGTATTAAGCTAAGACTGCCAAAAAAAGTTGAAAGAGAAATGAATTGAGAAGACTTACCCTACTAGATATCAAGACTAATTAAATAGTTATGATAATTAGAGAATGTGAAACTGGTCAACAGGTACAAAAAATAGATGGCATTAAATAGAGAATCCATAAAGCAATCCATGTATATACTAACACTTAAAATAAAAATATATATACACTATGAAAACAGTGTTTAAATATTTAGTAGTGCTATTGTAAATTCTGCGTTAATCCTAAAGGAGGGAAGGGTCACTTTCCTATGGAGAAGATGATAAAAATAAGACTACATACAGGGATAAGACTACATACATAACAGGGATGGACTTAAAGATGTCTTTATTTGTTTGTTTTTCTACCAAAATGAAAAAATCTAGGTCAAATGGATTTTCTAGGTCAAATGTTGAAAATTAAATTTGACTTCTATTTCTTACAGAGAAGTTAAGCTCAAAATGATTGTAGATCTTAAATGTGAAAGTTAAGATAGTAAATCTTCTAAAAAACAAAGTAGAATGTTTTCATAACTTTGAAATAAGCAAAAAAATAATTAACTCTTAAAAAATTAGACACATTAAAATTTAAAATTCTGTTCAGTAAAAAAATGAGACTGGAAAAATAAGCCACACAATTAGGAGAAAATCCTAGGAATGCATGTAACTCATAAAATGTGTTTTTTAAATCTTTAAAGTGACAAATTCCAAGTAGAAAAATGGCCAGACTCTTAAAAAGTCATTTTGCTTTCTTTGCAGTGAGCAGTTTTCTATTGTACAGTGTAGTATCATTTAATAAGTGAACAATCTTGGAAATCAAATTAATCTTTGAATCCTTAACTGAAGAAAAATAAAGCTGTGTTATCTTGAGGAACTTTAACTCATGTTTCTGAATCTAATTTTCTCACTTGCAATTTGGGACTAATTAATGCTTTAAAATAATACATATAATGGCATAGAGTAGGCATTCAAGGATGATAAGTACATTATTTTTTTTTAATTTTTGAATCAGTGTTTCTTTTATTTTCTACAGATTAAATACCAGAAAGTGGAATTACTGAATCATATGGTAGTTCTAATTTTAATTTTTTTGAGGAAACATCATATTGCTTTCCATAGTGGCTATCTATTACTTTTTTTTTTTATTTATTTTTATTAGTTGGAGGCTAATTACTTTACATCATTGCAGTGGTTTTTGTCATACATTGACATGAATTAGCCATGGATTTACATGTATTATCTTACAGAGAAGTTAAGCTCAAAATGATTGTAGATCTTAAATGTGAAAGTTAAGATAGTAAATCTTCTAAAAAACAAAGTAGAATGTTTTCATAGCTTTGAAATAAGCAAAAAGATAATTAACTCTAAAAAAATTAGACACATTAAAATTTAAAATTCTGTTCAGTAAAAAAATGAGACTGGAAAAATAAGCCACACAATTAGGAGAAAATACTAGGAATGCATATAACTCATAAAATGTGTTTTTTAAATCTTTAAAGTGACAAATTCCAAGTAGAAAAATGGGCAAGACTCTTAAAAAGTCATTTTGCTTTCTTTGCAGTAAGCAGTTTTCTATTGTACAGTGTAGTATCATTTAATAAGTGAACAATCTTGGAAATCAAATTAATCTTTGAATCCTTAAGTGAAGAAAAATAAAGCTGTGTTATCTTGAGGAACTTTAACTCATGTTTCTGAATCTAATTTTCTCACTTGCAATTTGGGACTAATTAATGCATTTAAAATAATACATATAATGGCATAGAGTAGGCATTCAAGGATGATAAGTACATTATTTTTATTCTGCCTTGTTTTTTTGTATTTTGGTCCCATATTAAGAAAAATGAAAACCGCATATGTGTCATATTTTTATTTTAGAGTTTATATTGTTGATTCTGACAACTGAATTTCAATTCACTTAATTTATAATTCTGTAAGAAAGAGGGTAAATTTTGTTTATAACTTGAAATTTTTAGGAATTTGTTTTTAAAGACTGAAGACTGTATTAAATACATCATGATCCATAAATGTTACGGGTAATTGAATGGAAAAATTGTCCTGTATATTTACATTAAAATAGATTTGTTAAGTGCTGATTTTATATTAACTAGTGTACTAAATTTCGAGAATAACCAGGTAAGGCATAGCCCCTGACCTTAGAGAGCTTGCAATTGAGGAGTTTTATGGAAATGTTTAATAATAATTTAAAACATAAATATTAGTCCCTGCAACTAAGATAACCAAAAAAAAAAATCATTAGACTTTACATTTTTTGTTTCACTTTTATGGAGGTAATGGAAGCCAAATACAGAATAACCCCCATTGTTATTCTAACCTCCACTGTTATTCCTTATGTATTGTATTGCTGTTATTTCATTCTCTTTCTATTCTCTCCCATATAGCTTTTCTTTAGTATTTGGGTAAAAAGCTCTGTTAAATATTAATTCAGTTGCCTCTTGACAAGAGGTTAAGTGAAAGGCTTGAGGGAAAGAGTGAATATTACAGAAACATTTTCCAAATGGAGTTAGGAGAAAATTCAAGAGAAGTTTATTCAGATGCTATTTATCAGGATGAAGGTATGACTTGGCTGAATGAATTTAAGCTTCTCATTTAAAGAGTTAAACTTTAAATGAGAGTTTAAACTCTCACTTAAAAAGTTAAAGCTCAGTTAAAGGCATAGGAAGACTGATTAGATAATCCCCTCACAAAGAGGGATTATTAGTGTTTGAATTTTAGATAAATATTTCATGGTGTTCTACTGGTTGACTAACAAGTTGTTGAAATTCCATGAATTATATTAACCCTATTTCTGGACTTGGAGACAGACATAACATGTAGATATAAATTGAATGCCTAGAATTTTCAACCTCTTTTATAAGGTCTATATGTTGTCAATTTGAAGTGCTTCCAGTGAGATTTTAGGCATTAATATGCCTCTTGGAATGTAGGTAGTAGCTACTGAATCTCTTCAGAGCAATTTTTATCTCTTTATTTCTCAGGGTATAAATGGCTGGATTTAGAAGAGGTGTAAAAACAGAGTAAAACACGGCAAGAAATTTGTCCACCCAGGTGATGCTGGGTGGCCACACATAGATAAAGATGCAGGGTCCAAAGAAGAGCAGCACCACTGTGATGTGGGCAGTGCAGGTAGAGAGTGCCCTAGAGGTGCCAGCTTTAGAGCTTCGGCGAACAGTAAGAAGAATATATGTGTAGGATATCAGCAGCAGTATAAAGCAGGTCATGGCCAGAACCCCACTGTCAGCATTCATTAATATTCCCAAGTTATAGGAATCCATGCAGGCAAGCTTGATTACCAGTGGTATGTCACAGAAGAAACTGTCGATTTCCCTGGGGCCACAGAAGGGCAATCGCACAATCACAACCATTTGACTCACGGCATGCACAAAGCCAATGGTCCAGGAAGT